AATACACGGGGAAGCAGTGAAAAGATTTGCTCGTCTCTAAAGGCGTCAACCGACTCCGGAATTTAAACGGAACCGACCGCAGGAATATGGCCTCTTTCGCCGACGGAAAATTATGTCAAGGGAAGCCAATTTCCGCGACGATATTCCTATCGCGATCGTTCGCGATAAATCCACCCGTAATGGTCAATTCTATTTGCTCTATAAACAGTAACACTGCAGTAAAGTCTCTGGTTTACACGGTCGCGTACACTGATGCACGATTCTGCTTGGTCGCTGGTTTCATTTAAATTGTTTCCATCGTTTGTTGACGTTTAACCATTTAGCTGTTTTTGACGGGTTTAATCCGTTGCGAAGGGATGGCAATATTTTGTGCGACGACGAATATACTTGTCGTGAAGAGATGTTAATATTTTGTGTTATGACGTGTATACTAGTCAAAAAACAGCTAAATGGTTAAATTTAGTGAATGAAGAAATGTTAGAAATGAAAAATAAGAAAACAAATGAAACAGTTATTTCTACAATATTATAACAGCCACTGAGTATAATTTTGTTCCACGGAATTGTATCTCTAACCAAAGAACTTGTTTGTCTAAATTTTGTAGTTTTCTCTGCTCCAATTATGGCATATATTTTTACAAGCCACTTCAAGTTTTCGATTTATGTTCGTTGACTTGAGAAAAATTAAATTGTGGAAAATTAATCTCGCCGCTCTATTTTCAAAGGAGGAACATACTTTATAATATGCGTGTTCTCTTCGTAACAATCTCTCTTCGACTTCGATGCCAACAATTTTAATGCAGCGATAAACAATTATTATCTGTGTTATTTAACATCGTCATTATTGTTAGCATTTAGAATATGCGTATGCTCGAAAACATAAATCAGTGAATAATGAACTTTTTAATTCAACAAAATATTCATTGAAATTCCATTAAAATCTCAGTTCAACACGAAACACTTCGAGTACCTTGTTAATAGCTATTTACACACTACACAAATTACTGATCAGCGTTAACTGCAGGTTATTGCACAACAAATGCTCGTAATTGAATCGTTGCTGTATCGTGACTGAAACAGTATTATAACCGTACTGCGGATTTTATGCGTTTATGACTAAAATGAGAAATGGCAATTCGAAACAGTAAAAAGATCGAAACAATTAAAGAACATCCATGTATTGCTCTGAATTTATTAAAATGCTTAAAGAAAGATCGCAATACGTAGAAACATTTATTTTAGTAAGAGATCTAATTGATAAGGTTATACGTACGCAATATATTTTAAACAATATTATATGAACTTATATACAAAATATATATTATGTAAATGTTTTACGTTACGTTATATAAAAACTATTCCAGGTTTAGTACGCTGTTTATTAATATTAATAGTTTAATAATAAATAATTAATTATTAATATTAATAGTTTAATTTTTTAAATTCGTTGCATTATTTATTTATTTGAGTTCAATTTATTGTATTTTACTTTGTTCTATTTTATTTCATATTATTTTATTTTATTGTTCCATTTCATCTATTTTATTTCATTGTATGCGATGTGCAAGATGTTCATTTAAAATTATTCAAGGTGTCCACCACCATCAAAATCATTTCAACAAGCTGCGATCGCGGTGATCAGAGAATTTGGTAAAATCCTCGCGCGTCCATTAAAACTGCTTGAAAATAAATTCCGCTCAAAAATACCAAAGCGCAACAGATCCCGGAACGCACCGTGTAATTCCGATAGTGAAAATAACAACTCCATTCCGCAGAAGGTATCCCGTAAACCGCGGTTCGCATGCCGGTCACACGCCGAGGAAATTATTTTCGGGCGGAGTAATTGCGAAGGAATTCCGTCTGCGCGACGCGGTTTAACGTCGGCACGGATAACGCACTCGATTCCGCAATAACGCGACCGCTTCCGCGGTGAAACGTTTCCGATTAAATTCATCCAACCTCTGAGCCGGCTCGCGTCCCGGCGGATCGCGCGTACGTCGCGTAATAAATACCGCCGACGCGGAGACGCCTCGCGCGGAGCGTTTCCGATCGAGCGAAATAATCGCGGGTTCGAATAATTCCGACCGGCTTGCGGTTTCTGAGTCCCGTCAATTACACGCCGTCGCGTATCTCGTTCGACGCACAATTGCCTGCGTAATCGTGATCGGAGCGCGTCAACCATCGCGCAGTGTCTTGAAGAAACACGGATAATCGACGCTGAAGCTTCGAGTCCGAGTGCAGCGGGATCGGATCGATACTTCGGCTGTCGACCACCGAAAAGTGTTTCCGTTTTCGTTTTATGCATCTGGATGCGCGAATGTGCGAAATACTTTTCCTCTTAGAGGATTTTCCCGATCTTTCCGGCGAGGTTCTCTTTTATCGCGACGTGATCTACTTTTAACTGGCGTTAACCCTCTATGGGCCCATGTAACTTTCAAGTCACAAGCTAATATATCCACATTTTACCAAATAGTTTTAGTTTTTTCACTCTTGCGCAAAAGATCGATAAGAAATAGTTTCATGAAACCCTTAAAAAAGATCATAAAATTGAGCAAATAGAAACCAACATACTATTAACCCTCTATAGGCCCATGTAACTTTCAAGTCACAAGCTAATATATCCACATTTTACCAAATAGTTTTAGTTCTTTTCACTTGCGCAAAAGATCGATAAGAAATAGTTTCATGAAACCCTTAAAAAAGATCATAAAATTGAGCAAATAGAAACCAACATACTATTAACCCTCTATAGGCCCATGTAACTTTCAAGTCACAAGCTAATATATCCACATTTTACCAAATAGTTTTAGTTTTTTCACTTGCGCAAAAGATCGATAAGAAATAGTTTCATGAAACCCTTAAAAAAGATCATAAAATTGAGCAAATAGAAACCAACATACTATTAACCCTCTATAGGCCCATGTAACTTTCAAGTCACAAGCTAATATATCCACATTTTACCAAATAGTTTTAGTTTTTTCACTTGCGCAAAAGATCGATAAGAAATAGTTTCATGAAACCCTTAAAAAAGATCATAAAATTGAGCAAATAGAAATCAACATACTATTAACCCGCTATAGGCCCATGTAACTTTCAAGTCACAAGGTAACACATATCCACATTTTACCAAATAGTTTTAGTTTTTTTCACAAGATGATGTATACGTCTTAATTATATAATGCCTCTGAAATAACCAATAACAATATCGATGACGGTTGGCAGCGCCGTCAACCTGAAATGACAAAATAAATACCTTGCAAGTTGTCTGCAGATAGAAACCAAAGGAACCATCTCTTGTGCAATTGAGATTATTTGTGCTTTTGTCGGTGTTTACTAAATAAAAAAAGCGTATATAATATAGCTCTGGGTTCGTATATCAATAACAATTTATTTATTTGCATTTCAACAATCATTTCGTTACTATTTGTATATGATACAGTTTTGTAACTTTCAGGTGACATTGGGATATTGTGGTAGATTCGAGTGTGTTTAGGATAATAGTTGTACTTTCTTCTATTTTCAAATTTATATATCAAATACCCCCAAAATACGGATACAAAATTGTATAAAAATAAACGAGGAATTAGAATTAGACGCATTAGCGGTAATAGATCCGAAGATTCTTTATTAGATTCTGACTCCGACGAAGGTCATCCAGTAACATTTACCAGACGACGCATAAATATTATTGACAGCGACGATGAATTTAGTACCGAATTATCATCGAATGAGGAAAATTCAGGACCACAAAAAACTATTTGGCAACCAGTTCCAAATGCAACGTACATCGATCTTTAACGCCAAATTCAAACTGTTTTATGGAATTTCACGCTTAAGCATTTATGCACAGAAGTGGAAACATTGTAAGCCGTTGTTACTTTAAAGTTACAAATTGAATTGATTATAATAAAGTTGTTTAAACTGTTAAATATTTTTTCAATTAGCATATATAGGTTTATAATAATAGATTTTCCGTTGCATAAATTTCTTTATATTTAAGAAAAACATTCGGCCCATAGAGGGTTAACAAATTCAGGATGTCTCGATCGTTTATAACTTTAGTACTTGAACTTATCAATTAAGCACTAAAAGTGACTGGAATGTTCCGCGACGTATAAACGACAAGACGGAATTTATTTACACGTAACGGTAGGATTCTTTGTTTAAACTGCACCATTTCTCACGGAAGCATCTCTAGAGTCTCAATCATTGTAAAATGAAACATACGAAAGTGGTCACCTGACCGGAGATTACAATGTTGATGATTGAACCAAGCAGAAATGGCGTAAGTCAAAATGATTGATTTGTGATGCAATAAAAATTGTCACAACTCTTTTATGCGAGCCACACTTTCCAGCTTTAACTTAAAATAGTAAGAAAAGGTCAAATCGAAAATATTAAATTAAGTATAATTCAATCATATCATATCAACCTAGCCGAGAATTGACTTAGACCATAGGATGCGCTCAATAATGATACTACTAAGAAAGAGTTCCAAAATCTTGTAAATAGTGTTTTCAATAGAAACTACATCTATGACAAAAATCGAAGAGTGAAGTTTCGATCGGTAGGAAAATTCGGAGAACTTCAAAATACACCAATTTATTTGTATTTATTTATTATTTATTATTTGTTTACAGACGCCGTAATGTTAACACTTTGCGACCACCGATTGTTGAAAAAATAAACACGAATTCGTTACATGAACTGATCAGGTGTGAAATTAAAAATTTAATTATCTTTTTATAGCGTTACGGAAAGATCTTGTTGATCTTCGGGTGGATCTTTCTTTCTGTCAGTCATCGAAGAAAGTTGGAATTTTAATAAATTCCAAAGCAGACAAGACTTATATTGAACGCGTGTTGGAAAATTCAAGCGAATGTAGAGAGATTGAACATCCCCCCCCCCCCCC